ACACAAAGATTTATAATGATTTACTTTGAATGTAAGAGTCATGGACGAATCCAGAACCGAATTACATATCGGGTTAATACGTCAAAAAAAAAAAAAAAAAATTACAAAAGAAATTTTTTTTTCTACTTAAAAAAAATAAATGGACTGCCCCCCGGATCCGTCAGTGGTAAGAGTTATGTCCACTCACCTCAGCGAGTTTTTAAGATAATTAAGAAGAAGAATAGAAGGGCTTTTTTTTTTTTTTTTTAAAATCACCTCTATCATATCATATATATGTAGGAATATTAGGTATAATACGATTAGACTCTCCATACTCGAACATGGACAATAATCTTGACACCAAGTTAGCAAGGGTCTAGAAATTTTCTGTAAGAAAATTAGTAAAGAGAATCAGATCAGTTCGAGCATGTTTGGCTAAGCTTTAAAGTTACTTTAAGTAATTCTTTTTTGCCAATACATGTCTGAGCATTTTTCAAAGTTACTTTCTAAAGATGTTTTTTTTAAAAAATACTTCTATATATTTTTGTACGCTTAGCCAAACGTGCTTGATAAGAAATGTTTTTGAATATTAAAGAACCATGCTTGTTGTACATCATGGATGACAGCCTCCTCACATCCCTGAGTGGGCCCCACCTCATGTGAGAGGCTATCAAACTGAATGTACACCAAGCATTATTCAATATTAAATCTCAAACTATTAAAGGCTAAACAAGATGTCCCAATCTCATCAACATAATTCCGAAACACGGACGAAAATTTCTTCAACTCTAAATGTTAGTCATGTGAACTACCTGTTCTCATGCACTTATAAAGCAATTGTAGTGCATTCTGAAGGACATGAGAATGAACAGATAATTTCTCCCGTGAGTGTAGAATATGGATCTGAAAATATTTGCAATGCTTTTTTCACTTATTTTCAGGACTACTTTTGCATATGCAGGGGGTCTGTCCTTAAACTTTTATGAACAATCTTGCCCACAAGTGGAGTATATAGTGAGAGCCAGTCTTAGATCAATCTCCCTCACTGATCCTACTACTCCAGCAGCTATTTTAAGACTCTTGTTTCATGATTGCCAAGTTCAGGTATTCTTCCGCCATAAATCTGTGTGCGCTTCGGTCTTTTTTCGACTCTCTGTTCTGTTTATTATTGCTCTCTGTAGTAGGAATCAGATTGAGCATAGGATCTTTTGATTGACAGGGGTGCGATGCTTCTATCCTCCTCGATCCAGAAAGTGACATTTTTCAAACAGAAATGGCTTCGAGGAAGAATTTTGGAATCCAAAAGAGGGAGACAATAAACACGATCAAGGCAGCCGTGGAAGCCGTGTGTCCTCAACAGGTTTCGTGTGCAGACATTCTCGTATTGGCTGCTCGCGAGGCGATTGCCATGTCCGGAGGGCCAATGATAGTCGTTCCTTTGGGACGACGGGATTCATCATCCCCTCCGAACTTTAGACAAGCAGATGCTTCACTCCCCGAACCAAACATTGGCCTTGATGCCACGCTTCAACTTTTCGCGAAAAAAGGGATGACTGTTGGAGAATCTGTTGCCATTTTAGGTAATGCAAATGAACATGTAACGTTTTCATTGTGTTAAGATCCGTGGATTATGTTCTAAATGCTCGAATTTTCAATTTTTGGATAACCTTTCTTCATATTGCTTAAAAACACTAATGCGTAAACATGCAACTTTGTGCGTGTGGCTTAGACACCATAATGTTGAGATCTGCTATTCTGAACTTCTTGTTAGCTTGGCTATCATCCCCAATAGATTTTTGACATATCGACACACATCTTTCATTATACATTACTATAAATCTCTCGCCTTTGTTTTCCTACTCAGGAATTAGCCTAGCGACGTTTTGCATATACAAATTTTAGAAATTTAAAAACATGTAATAATTAGACTTCCACAGTAATCTATAATATATTAAATATCACATCAAGTGATAATCATTTTTTGGATTATTATATCTCTACTATAATTCAATTATTTCAATAATATCTTAATTTTCGTTTTTCAATATGTTTTTAATTTATAAATTGTAATAAATACTGTAATTAATTATTAATTAATTAATTAACATTAACATTCATTTAATTAATATTAATTATAATTTCACATTCACATTCACGTCTATGTCCACATTATTAATTATCAAATAATTAACATTAACATTTATTTAATTAATATTAATTAGAATTTCACATTCAAGAATGCAATTCATCATTCATGTTCATATATGCTAATTAGTATTTAGTCTCACTTAATTGGAAATTAAATTATATTCATTTAATATAAATGATTTAACATTCATTGTCACGTATATATTCCTTAATATTAATTCTAAATTAATTGACATTCCTTGATTTGCTGTGACGAATCTAAAACCATCTGTACTTTCCATAAACTGATCCAGCTTTTAACTAGAAATTCTGATANGAAAAATCATTGATGTGATGGAAAAATATTATTTTATTGAAAAATGTGTGGTTGAAAATGAGTCGAAGAATGAGAATTAAAATTTTAATGTGGCTCAAATAGTTAATTTGTGTATCGTACTTGCAATTCATTTTTATTTATGCATTTAATTGTAACTCTGATACTCGCGCTCAAATACAAATATTCCCTGAGTACAGGGAATATAGGGAATATTTACAGAATTTGTACAGGATGCTGCTGTAGCAGCATCCTGTGCATTTGTGTGTGTGTGAGTGTTTTGTTTCCAACTTTGAATCTGAATTGTTGATTTCAAATTTCTAAGCCAATTCTGTAAAAAATTTCTGTACTTGCAGACTAACTCGCTCAAATATGCATTTCACTATTTATGTGCGTATATAATAAATAAACATTTATGTTTAGGAGCTTAAATTTATCTTATATTACGTGCAACGCACGTTGATTCTGACTAGTCTTCAAAAAGTATAATTTGCAAATAATAATCAGCGTGTGATCTCTATTTCACTATAAACCCATCTGCACATTGTTAGTGGGCCAAATATGTATAATAATTGATAATTCACGTGTTTTGGAGATAAATTTTTAAGGACAGTACATGTCTAGTTTCTCGTTTCTAACCATAAACATTTGAATTAAGACAACTAGTGAGTTGTCAAGATCCTTGCTGTTGATTTGAAAAACAGTTTTTAAAATGACTAGATCTTGCTATGAGTACATAGCAAACAACATAAGGATTCACATAATGGACAAATGCCAAGTGTGATTGTAAAGAAAGTTGTAAAGAAAATTGTATAAGCAACATTATTGTAAACATTTAACATTGGCCATATTTTGATTTCAGGAGCCCATACTCTGGGAGTCACTCACTGCTTCAATCTTGAGAGCCGTTTGTACAAACCAGAAGTTGACAAAATTGACCCACAATTTGAAATTTTCTTGAAAATGAGCTGTCCGTTGGGGTCATTTACACCAAATTCAAGTTTTGTCGTAAATGATCCCACTACATTATTATTCGACAACCAATACTTCGTGAATTCCATAAATGGCCGTGGAGTTTTGAAAATTGATGCAGAAATGCCCCTGGATCCGCGAACCGCACCGTTTATTCAAGCATTTGCTTATGATCAAGAGGTATTTTTTGAGGCCTTTTCATCAGCTTTTGCGAAATTGTCTTCTTCGAATGTCCTCACCGGAAATCAAGGTGTCATTAGGACTAATTGTAATAGATTGTACTGAAAGGCATTGGATAGATGATCGAGTTCATAATTTGAAATAATAATGGAGTTTTTCAGACTAATCAAATTTAATTTCCGAGCTTTGCTCATTTGTCTCTCTCTTATTCGGTTGATATTAAATCCCTGTTTGGTTGTAGATTAAAATCTGATTTTAATTCCAGGTCAAAGTCAATAATTAATTTTAAGTACGTGAATTACAACATTTTAACCATACATTTTATCAACTTTAATTAAAATCTACTAAAAATATGATTTTAATCTACACTAAAATGAGGGTTAAATTTTCATTATGTTAGTGATTTTATGTAAAAAGTGTTGATACCAACCGATGTAGAGCACTTTTCAAGGTACCGTAAAGTGCAACACAAGATGAGTAGTCTACTCTACTACACTACGTGGGCTGATTCTCGAGTCTTGCAATAATTGCTGACACTCGATCGAGAGAGGTTATGCAAGTGTTAAAGAAGATTAAATACAAAAGCAAAGTGTTCATTGATTGTAGAAAGCAATAAATTATAACTGTGAGAATGAGGGTCGAATCAAGAAAGGCACTAAAGAAGTTTTCCAATACACATTACCCTTTTGAAGTTTATTAGTGCCCTTGTTCGGCTCCATTAAATCAAAAATACATTTTTTTAAAGAGTCATTTTCAAACACACATTTTTTAATAAAATATTAAAACACGTCAATTCAAAATTTTTCCTTACTTTTTAATCACACATTATAAAAAAAAATTACGATTCGAAAATACATTTTTTTGCAAAACCTCGTTAAAATGGAGTCCAAACAAATATTTAATGTACATGAAGAAATACTTACATATATTGAGCCCCCTTTTGTGAAATTGCTCTTTCCTCTATCTTTTGAAACCTCTCACCACTGTCACAGCTCTAACCACAGCCATCATCGACGCCACAAACCCCCACCGTCACGACTCACACCATCGACACCACTCATCACCACCACAATTTTCTACCTTGATTCCAATCGAATGTACGGTAATCTTGGTTTCGAAAATAAGCGATTATTGTTAGATCTACATGCATATCTAGATATAGATCAAGATCTAGATCTAGATCTGAATGTGGCATGACGTCAGGTGTGGTGCTTTGATGTTGTGTTGGTGGCTAAATGCAGATTTGGTTTGTGAATTAGTAGTAGTGTGATGGTGGCGAGTGATGTAATGGTGGTTTGGACTAGCATGGATGGTATATCGGGTAAGTGATTAGTAACATAATGTGTTATCCGTGTACAATATCTTACTGTACTTTACCCATTTCCGTGTTGTTAACATAATGACACCGAGATGTATATAGGTTGTGGTAGTGAACGATGATGATTGGCGGGATTTTGGGTTTGTTCGAGTTATAATTTGGGAATTCGATTTAGAGCGTGATGATGGTTGCAAAAGACGGTGTTTGAGAAAATGGTTCGGGAATGGTGATGGCTATGCAAGAAATGACAATAGCAGTGGTAACATAAATGTTACCTTACAAGTAACACAATAATATATATGTTACCATACAAATCAAAAAATAAGTACTATTAACAGTTTATGGTGCGAGAATAGAATTTGTAACCATTACATCTCTTATCGAAAATTTGTCTCTCACTCCACTGGCGAATTTTCTTCGCCCCACTGGATGTTGACAAGAAGATGCCCTCACTATTTTCGATGTCAACAAGTATTTAGACGAGTAGACAGTTTTCTAAGAAAACATCAACAAATTTTATCAATTCGATCCATTTATTTTCCAATTTTCTAGGAATTAAAGGGCCGTTCTCTTCGTGTTTCAGTTTTCTGTTTTGAGTTTTGAATTCGTTTTGTGTTTTGATCGTCCATTTTGAAAATGCTGAAAATGCGTTCTTTTTGTGATTCAGGAAAACTGTTTTTGAAAACATAAAACTAAAAAACGCGTTTACTTTGAAATTTTGAAAATATTTTTGAATAATATTTTTTTTAAAAAATATGATTATTCAATATATTTTAATAATTTAATGTTAATATAGTATTAAATAATATATAAAATTTGAAGTTGCTATCAAATTGTTTCTTTGCTCATCAACAATGGTGTCAAGAATAACAATGGTAAATAATTTGTTTCTTGACTATGCATCTGCCTCATGCTTTTACACCCAACAGGTGTTCCGCCAGACAAAACCACAAATCAAATACTTGGATAATTCACGCTAGAAGTCCTCTCTTAACATAATTGTAAAAAGCAAATTCAACTCCACAAGACAAGTCCAAAATGAATAATCTTTGCAACCGAAAACATTTGATCAAAAAGGGGTCCAATGTAAACAACCAAACAATGCTTCTATTGTATCATATCAGTTTCTTAGTATCACTTCAAATCAAAAGGAAAGAAAATCTCTAGGCAGAAACTTCACAGACCCATACATACAGCCCAGCACTCAAGAAGAATCATATATAAGAATCAATAAACAACACCAATCTCCAAAACCTATATCAAAACACATAATTCTTTCAGAACCCACATTAAAAAATCTAATATTTAACAAAACTCACAAAATAATTCCAGTAGTCACAAAATTTAATAACTCAAGAGCCCTTAAATTATAGACACCCACATAAGCATCAAGAAATTTCCGGGAGTGCTCAACAGTCCAGACTCTTCGATTTCTCAAATTGCACCAATCAATGTACAATTAATATACCCAAAAAGACAGACATATAGAGGGAGATTGATGTGAGAAATTGTGAGTTTTATAATTTTGTTTTGGTATGGGAAAATTGAGAAGAGAGAAGACGGGGGGCCTCTTCCATCTCGCCTCAAGTCTGGCCCTGTCGTCGGCATCGAGAAGAGAGAAGCCGGCGGGGGCAAGAGAGAAAAGATGGGACTTTGAGTTTAGAAGAGAGGAGTCAGGGACAAAAGCTCAAAAATGGTGTTTCGAGTGTTTTCGAATTTTTATTGTGTAAAACACTGAAAACGTCCAAAACGAGATTTTCTTGTTTTCGCGTTTTTAGACAATTTTTTTTTTTTTTTTTTTTTTTTTTTTTTA